CATAACCTCTGGTTCCTTTTGGGGGTATTGGGTGGTTCTGGTGCACCCCTCTCCCCAGTCTTTCTGCTTTCATGGTTTATTGTGGGTGTGAGAGGACTTGCCTGGGCCCCTCCCCATGTCCCGGCCCTGGCGTCCAGTGACTGTTTTGTCTCTTCCCTCCCCACTTCCTTCCCAGGTTTCGGTCTAAGTACCACCCAGATGAGGTGGGGAAGCGGCGGCAGGAGGCCCGGGGGGCCCTGCAAAACCGACTGAGGGTATTCCTGTCCCTCATGGAGAGTGGCTGGTTTGATAATCTTCTCCTGGACATAGACAAAGCTGATGCCATCGTCAAGATGCTGGATGCAGGTGTGTGGTTTGGGAGGGGAAGAGGGTGTCTGGTGACCAAGGTCTTGGTTGGGAAATAGATGTCAGTTGATAAGCCAGAAGTTGAAGGCCAGGGCCATTGTGACCTCTGCCCCGTCTGTTGGTAGCTGTGATTAAGATGGAAGGAGGGACAGAGAACGATCTGCGCATCCTGGAGCAGGAGGAGGAGGAGGAGCAGGCCGGAAAGCCTGGGGAACCCAGCAAGAAAGACGAGGGCCGGGCTGGACCAGGCCTGGGGGACGGGGAGCGCAAGGCCAATGATAAGGATGACAAGAAAGAAGATGGCAAACAGGTCAGAGTGTTGGGCTTGCCGGGGGCTGCCCGGGGGCTGCCCGCTGGCTGCTGCCTGTGAGCCCCTGGGGAGGAGGAGGGAGCAGCTTCAGTGGTCGGGGCAGGGCTGGAGGGTTGTGTGCTGGGTCCAGGAGAGGTGGGGGGCCAGGGAGGGGCCGGGCCCTCTGATAAAAGGTTGAAGGGGATCGTCTGTGCCTGCAGGCCGAAAATGACGGTTCTAACGATGACAAAACTAAGAAGTCTGAGGGCGATGGGGACAAGGAAGAGAAGAAAGACGACTCTGAGAAAGATGCCAAAAAGGTAGGGTATCTCTTGCCAGGGGATCAGTGTCCGGTCCGGTGGCCTGCTTATCTGACTCGCTTCCTCTTGCTGCGGCTCTCACAGAGTAGCAAGAAGCGGAATAGAAAGCACAGTGGTGACGACAGCTTTGACGAAGGCAGTGTGTCCGAGTCGGAATCGGAGTCGGAGAGCGGCCAAGCTGAGGAAGAGAAGGAGGAGGCTGGTAGGTTTTATTTTCTGCTTCTAGTCCATTCTCTTCCCACTGAATAGAGGTAGGGGAGGTGGGAGTGGGTGAAATTGATAAGGGTGGGCCTTCTGGGAGATGAGGGTGGGGAGGTGGGAGTGTGACTGCTGCTCTGTCTTCCCCTCCAAAATCAACAATAAAAAATCACGAACTCCCACCACTTTCTGCATAGAAGAGGCACTCAAGGAAAAGGAGAAGCCCAAAGAAGAAGAAAGGGAGAAGCCTAAGGACACTCCTGGGTTGGAATGTAAACCTCGGCCCCTCCATAAGACTTGCTCCCTCTTCATGCGCAACATTGCACCCAACATCTCTCGGGCAGAGATCATTTCTGTGAGTGGGGGAAAGTGGTGTTGGGGGCAGGAATGGCACCCAGGCTCCATCTTTGGTGGCAGGGCGGGGGAGCTGGTGAGGCGGGGAGGGGATAATGTGACTCTGCTTCTAACATATACTGCTCTTTCTCGAACAGGGAAACCCCTTCCCATGGGCCCATGCCTTTTGTGGGCTGGCTCCAATCGCACTATTTGCTTTTAAGTGCTCTTATTCTTACGCCCTTTATTGGTTTTTCCTTACTTGAGTAAAGATTCAAAGGCAGTTCCTAGGGTTCCGAGGACATGGGGATTGGAGGAAGAAGTGAAACGTTGAATTGCTCAGTGGGGTTTCTGTTCCTGTTTTTCCAGCTTTGTAAAAGATACCCAGGCTTCATGCGTGTGGCACTGTCAGAGCCCCAGCCTGAGAGGAGGTGAGGAATGGAGAGAAGAGTGACCCTGGAAACCCTGGAGATACGGTACAGGGGGAGGCAAATGGCCGGTATCCCTTCCACCCCAGGGTTATGCTGACCTTTTCTTCTGTAGGTTTTTCCGTCGTGGCTGGGTGACCTTTGACCGCAGTGTTAACATCAAAGAGATCTGTTGGAACCTGCAGAATATCCGGGTAAGTGCTGGGAGTGGGCTCTCTGTGCTACACAAAACCTGATTCCTTTGTTCTTTTGATTCACTTGTTCTGCCCCTTATCCATCCATTCGGTCTGCTCACATTAAGTATATACCGGGGTCCATGAATGAGACCCTCCTGGTCCCTGTTCTCAGGGAGCTCACGGTCCAGTTGCTGGTCCTGTCAGTAAGGCCAGTCCCTGCAGCTGCTGCTGCTTGGGCAAGTGTTGGTGAGCTTTGTGTTCGTTCCCTCTAGCTCCGGGAGTGTGAGCTGAGCCCTGGTGTGAACAGAGACCTGACCCGCCGAGTCCGCAACATCAATGGCATTACCCAGCACAAGCAGATAGTGCGCAACGACATCAAGCTGGCCGCCAAGCTGATCCATACGCTGGATGACAGGACCCAGCTCTGGGCCTCTGAGCCTGGGACGCCGCCTCTGCCAACAGTCAGTGACTCCCCGTGGAACTTTTCCAAAAGCAGCCGATACCGTGTCGACTGCCGAGGGCACCTCTGACCCCTTGTTCCTATCCTCTCTATCTGGGCAGCACCTCCAGCTTTTCCGACAGAATAGACTGGCATTAGTGATGATGTATTGGCTAGGGTAGAGTAAGAAAAAGACAAAGAGTGAAGCAGTGGTAACAGGCCAAGTGAACCCTGGATTCCTTTCTGCTTCAGATGAGGAGCTCCCGGGACCCCCTACCTCAGAGTTTTCTCTTGTCATCTCACTTGCCCTTCTTTCTCCTCCCTACCAGAGTCTGCCCTCCCAGAATCCAATCTTGAAGAATATCACTGACTATCTGATTGAGGAAGTGAGTGCGGAGGAGGAGGAGCTGCTGGGGAGCAGTGGGGGCGCTCCCCCTGAGGAGCCCCCTAAGGAAGGGAACCCTGCAGAGATCAACGTGGAGCGGGATGAAAAACTGATCAAGGTGCCAGCAAGGGCAGGCGGACAAGGTCCTGGCTTGGGGCAGCAAAGGGGCAAGAAAAGTATGGTGAACTCAAAGATTTTCATTTCCCTCAGGTTTTGGACAAACTCCTTCTCTATTTGCGCATTGTGCATTCCCTGGATTATTATAACACGTGCGAGTACCCCAATGAGGATGAAATGCCCAACCGCTGTGGCATTATCCATGTTCGGGGGCCCATGCCACCCAACCGCATCAGTCATGGAGAAGGTGGGCTCCCAGCTTCCCCACTCCCGATTCCCCTTTGGTTTCCCTTTCTCCTCAGCTGCCTCTGGTCTTAGATCTGTTGTGGTAGCAGTGCCTTCCCACACTTTCCTGTTACCCTCTCCTTTTTCTTTTTTTCTTTAAATATTTTATTTTTAAATAATCTGTATGCCCAACGTAGGGCTCAGAATCAGGACCCTGAGATCAAGAGTCACATGCTCTGACTGAGCCAGCCAGGCGCCCTTTTCCCTTCCTTTTTATTCCTTGCTTCTGGCTCCCTTCTTCAGCCCGCTGTCTGTTCCCAAACCACAGTGCTAGAGTGGCAGAAGACATTTGAGGAGAAGCTGACTCCGCTGCTGAGTGTACGGGAATCTCTTTCCGAGGAAGAGGCTCAGAAGATGGGTCGCAAAGACCCTGAGCAGGAAGTGGAAAAGTTTGTCACCTCTAACACCCAGGAACTGGGCAAGGATAAGTGGCTATGCCCTCTCAGTGGCAAGAAATTCAAGGTCTGGGATGTTAGAGAGTTGTGTGTTAGAACTGTGGGCCGAGGGGGTTGATCCAGGAAGCCTCCTCCGGCCTGGGGAGGAATTGGCTCTGGAATTGGTGGGCGGGGAGGTTGATTATCCTTCCACATTGCTCGCTCTGTTCTGACCCTCTCTTTCTTTACCCAGGGCCCTGAGTTTGTACGCAAACATATCTTCAACAAGCATGCAGAGAAGATTGAGGAAGTGAAGAAGGAGGTGGCATTTTTTAACAACTTTCTCACAGATGCCAAGCGCCCGGCCCTGCCAGAGATCAAGCCAGCTCAGCCACCTGGCCCTGCCCAGAGTAAGATACGATCCGAGAGAGTCTGCCACATTCCCTCTCCCTTGACTATTCAAGGATTCCTGGTTCTCTTATCCTGTCATCCTCTGAAAACTTTCCCACTCTCAGGCAGTACTCCTAAAAGCCAGTTGTCATTCCCCATCCTGTCCTCCTCCCCTCCCCGGGCCCCCTCCTCCCCGCAGTAATTCATGTTCCTGTCCATGTTGTACTCCCCCCAGGCCTGACCCCGGGACTCCCCTACCCGCACCAGACTCCCCAGGGCCTGATGCCCTATGGTCAGCCCCGGCCCCCCATCTTGGGCTATGGAGGTAAGTATAGGGGGAGCTCGACAGGGTTTAAGTGGCTGTGAGGGCTGGGAGAAAGGAAGATTAACCAAGGTGTAGTTGAGGTCACAGGTTTTCATCTGAGCACTGATCTCTTGTGTAGCTGGTGCTGTCCGCCCTGCAGTCCCCACGGGAGGGCCTCCATACCCTCATGCCCCCTATGGTGCTGGCCGAGGGAACTATGATGCCTTCCGAGGCCAAGGAGGTTATCCTGGGAAGCCTCGGAACAGGTGAGAATGAGCTGAGACTTCCCAAGCTTGCCGTTTTCAAGCTCCCTTTCAGGGACCCTCAGCTGTCTTCCCATCTTACCGTATCTTCATCTCTCACAGGATGGTCCGAGGAGACCCACGGGCCATTGTGGAATACCGTGACCTGGATGCTCCAGATGATGTGGATTTCTTCTGAGCCAACTACTTTTCCTCACTCCTGGTATGGTCTATAATTGTGACTGCCTCGTCCCATCCAGCTGAGAATTTTTTTTTGTACGTTTAACCCTACTGCCAATAAAAGCACTTCCATAGTGATTGATTATCCTGTACCTCCCCACATTCTCCCAGAGATTGGCCGGGGCCATAATTAGCTGAGCCTCACCACTTTATTGACTCCAAAGGCCCAGGCAGCTTTTGCCTTGGAGTAAAGGGTTTAGGTGTGTTTGGGGCCAGAGACAAGTCTCCATTCTGAGACCTGAGCCTTAGCGCAGGGCGTGTTGCTGCTTCTGGGAGTTGCAGCTGGTCAAGCACAGGTTGTAGAAGGAGTTGCGGTCAAAGGCTGCGCCTACCTCTCTCCACCCTACCCACCCAGCTGCCTGTAGTTCACTGGGATTTTTCGGAGCACCCCAGAAGTGAGGGTCCAATACCAGAACATAGGCCTCTGTGCCTGGACCCAGGCAGACTCCCAGCAAGGCCTTGGACTGGGCATCTGCATCCCCCCCAACCATTACAGGCCCCCCGCCCCCTGCGAAGTGGGAGTAAAGCCTCTCCAGTTCCCCCTGAAGTCCTGCTCCACGGGGTACGTGACACAGGCGCCCCTGGGGCCCTCCGAAGTGGTCGAGGCACAGACTGGCTTCTACACAACCGATCCAGCTCCGGGAGCCCCGGAACCCGGGGGGCTTGTCGCCCATGTCCTCCAGGGCCGCCTGCACGGCGGCCAGCCCGGGCACGCCCGCGGGCCGGCCCTCTGGCCACGAGCACAGCGTCTGCAGAGTGCGGTAGCCGCAGCCCCAGCCCCGGTCGTCCAGGCCGTCGCAGCCGTAGTGATAGTAAAGGTAGTGGCCCGAGAGGAGGGCCAGGCGAGCGGGGCCGCGGCCGGGCGGGGCCAGGCCCAGGTGGACGTCCTTCAGCAGCTCCAGGGCGGGCGGCGCGGACGGAACTCCGGCTCCAGCGTTTCCTCTCGGTCCCGGGTCTTGAGCTAGCCGCAGGCAGAACCGACGGGCGGGCTCTGGGGACCTTCTCTCGCTGGTCCCCGGCAGCCGCAGAGGGCGAGCCACAGCCGCGAGGAAGGCGTCACCCGCGAAGCTCCCACAATGCCCCGCCGGGCTGCCATTGCTACTGCGCAGGCGCGAGCCCCGCCTCGTGAGGCGGCGGGGCGGGGCGGCGGGGCGGGCACAGGCACGCTCCGCCCGGCTACTGAGATCCGCAAGTTCGGAGGGCTCTCGTACTCGCCCCTCTGTCTACTCAGCACCGGTGTTTGAGGCCCGCTCCCTAGTCGCGCACACTGCTGTAGCTGTAACAGTTTATTGGCAGCCCAGAGGGGCGAAGGCACCGCGGGGGAGGGGCTCGGCCCGAGACATGCAGAGGACGGGGAGCCTCCGGGGATAGTCGGGGGGGAGTTGGGTGGGCACGGTCTAGGGCTCCTCCGTGTTATACCCCAGCCCTTCGATAAGTATATACAGCTAGGGGGCCGGGCGGGGCGAGCAGGGCGGGGAGACGTGGGGGTCCCGTCTGGGTCACAGGTCTGAGCAGCGATCCTGCTTGCTGTAATGGTCAAACTGGTTCTTCCAGTGCACCATGTAGGAGCTCCAGCGGTGGAACTCGGCCTTCCACTGGCGCTCCGCCTCGTCCAGCGTGTCTGCGGCCAGGGCGCCCGGCAAGTGGGTTGGAGGAGGACAAGGGGAAGGTCAGGGAACGTACATGGTGGGGGGCGTGAGTGCAGGAGGATACAAGAATGCAGGAAGGCACGCAAGACGGTGGAAAGAGGATCAGAAGAATATGCGAAAGACGGAAGACCAGAGGAAGGATGAGAGTGGAGGCGGGGCCGGAGAAGGATGGCGGGAAGGAAGGGGTGGGGGGAGGAGAAAATGACCGTTAGACAGGGGTACAGAAAGGATCAGAAGAGGGAGGACCCGTGGGTTGGTGGGGAAAAGAGAAGAGACAGAAATGTTGACTGTTACAGCCCCACTAGGGGGTGCTATCTAGCTCCCGGCCTTCCCTCTCCCCCCCCAACACCAGGCTCCGGCTCCAAATAATTTTATAAAAAAAGAAAATTGGCTTTTTCATTTCCATTTAAACAACAAAGGCGTGTGGATCCCTGAGACGGGTCATAGGTCACCATCCCCTCCCAGCCCTGGCCAGTTTGAGTCTCTCGGTTTGAGGAGGGAGGGTGCGCTGGGTCGGAGATCCCTGAGTGGGGCCCTTCCCCACTGTCCGACCACTCATTAGAGGAGGGGGGCCCCCTGAGGCCGGAGGGGTAAGTGGCCGTGGTCAGAGCCGCAGGAGCCGGGCGAGGTGGAGGAAGAGGAGGAGAAGAAGGGGCAGGGGAAGGCCGGGCCTGGGCCTCGGGGCGGCCTCCCCGTGGGCGGGGCCTGAGCAGGTGCTGGGAGCCTTCGAGGCTGGGAGGGGGGGGAGAAGAGAGGGGTTACACCCGGCCGGCTTCCACTCCCCTCTCTCTCTTCGCGCCCCCTTTCTGCCCTCCTCCGCCCAGCCCCTGCCCGCTGGCCCCTGCATACCGGTGGCGCTGAGCAATTTGGGTAGGAAGCGGTTCCAGAAGGCGCAGGCCTGGGCGCGCAGCCCCCGCCGCACCTCCAGCGGCCGCAGGTTCAGGCTCACGTACTGCTGCGCTCCCGCCGTGTACGGTGGCCACTGCGGGACTTTGGGGTCCCGGGGGTCATTGGGGTCCCTTCGGAAGGAAAGGGAAGGCTCAGCCTCAGGCAAGCCTGCCCCGCCCGCCCTTGGGACTGTGGACCGGAGATGGAGAGCAGGAGGAAGGCTGCTTCCGACCCGTGCGCTCTTCGGCTCCCTGGAGAACACATTCCCTCCTTCCCACCACCTCTTTAACCCCTCTTTCTGGTCTCCCGGATCCCCCATCATCTGGAGCCATCCCCTTCCTCCTGCCCTCCCTCTTTCTGCCTTTCCCTCGGCTTTACTGCTCCACCTTTGTCTTTGTTTCTCCCATTTAAAACATCCCTACGATTTATGAGCCCTCACTATGCAAGCAGGCTCAGTCCTAGCTCTATAAACATCTTGTTTTTGCTTTTGACAACACCCATGTGATGTCGGATTTAGGGTCCCCTTCTTTGGACAGGTAAACTGGTGTGTGAGTACATATGCAGGTGCGCATGTCACAGCTAATAAAATCACCACTGGCCCAATTGAATCCAGCTCTCTCCAGTTCAAGCTCCTAAGTACTATGGTAATTCCTTTGTCTCCCTGTCTCTCTGCTCTTCGCTTCCCTCCCCCTCGGTCCCCGATTCTTCAGGACCTGCCATCCTGTTTTCCTCTCCAGTCTCCTTTGTCATTCTGTCTCCGTCTTTGTCTCCTTCCTTTTGTGAACTTTTCCCTCCCTCTCCGGCCCTTTCTGTCTCTGTTTGTCTTCCTCTCTCTCTGTCCCCTGCTCCTGCTTCTCTGGCTCCTGGAGGCCCTCCTCCCCTCAGTACTGCTGACCCTGTGCGGGCGAAGTTGGCCCAGTATCTCATCAGTCGCTGGGCAAAGGTTCTCTCCTCGGCGGTATAGTTTAGCGAGGGTTCCAGAGGGAGCCCAAAGATGAACTCGATCTCGTAGCCATGGGGCACCCCCATCCAGAGGGGCCAGGAGAGCGTAGACGCGCGGTGTTCAAAGATGTAGGCATAGACCCGAGCACCCTGGGCAGCCAGTCGCCCAGCCAGCTGGGCCACGGGGCACACGACGTTGTGGTCGCCCACGACATCACTCATGGCCTCTCTCAGGCGTGCCGGGTCCTCAGGGTGCAGCCAGTCTGTGTAATGCAGGACCACAGCCTCGGCAGCTAGGTCACTCGCCTGGGGGACCCCGACCCGCACCCCGGCCAAGAACTGGGCCCGGCTGATGAGAGATTCGTTGTCTTTGCTGAAGCCTGGGGCCCCGTAAACCAGAAAATAGGAGCCCTCATCCTTCACCACACCCACCAGCACCTGGGGGGACAGGATGGAGGGATGGGGGGGTACAGACAGACAGGCAGACAGAAACAGATGGACAAAGAGCCAGAGAGATCAATAGTTATAGACCCCAGAACCATGGAGGAAGAGAGTATGAGGTTGGGGAAGGGACAGAGAGAAAGAGAAAATGTACCCATGTTTCCTTTTCTCTCTGCCCCACTGACCACCCTGGGATCTGAGCTCTCAGGGAGGAGGGGGCAGCCCTGGGGCCAGAAGCCCAGGCCTTTGGGAGTTGGATCTTGAGGAGCCTTCATGCCTGGGTCCCCGGGGGTGGGGGGTGGGGGCGGGCAGGAGAACAGGCCTAGAGGAACCAGCTCCACCCCTTCTAGCCACTAGTCACCTGCAGACTGTGGAAGTCTCCGGCATTGATGAGGGCCTCGGGTGTGTCACTGAGGAAGTCTCCATCCACCACAGGCACAAAAGAGAAGCGGAAGACACTTTCCTGAGGCAGCACATGCCACTCGTGGTCCACCAGGTCCTGAGCTGGCCGTGTCCTTAGGCAGGCGACCAGCTCTGTGTCATTGCCACCAGCACCCCCCGGGGGACAGCCTACGAGGCGGGCCAGCAGTGTGGCCCTGCGGCGGGCCTCTCCCACACCCACTGTGGCCCAGGGGCCGTTGGGTGCACCGCTCTGCAGCACAGCCCTGTGGAACAGGCCCCGGCTGGGAGGGGACAGCAGGTGCATGCCCACTGAGGCAGCACCGGCACTTTCCCCAAACAGAGTCACTGACATTGGGTCGCCCCCGAAGGTTGCCACATTCTCCTGCACCCACTGTAGTGCCAGCCTCTGATCCAGTAGACCCACGTTGCCTGGGGCCTCCCGGCTCCCTGGCAGGGCCAAGAAGCCAAAGGCTCCTACCCGGTAGTTCATGGACACCAGCACGGTCCCCTCAGCCTGGGCCAGGAAGCGGCCATCATACACGTCCAGGGAGGAGGCCCCACTGTAGAAGCCACCCCCGTAGATCCAGACGAGGACAGGGGTGGGGGACGCAGGCCGGGGGTATGGTGTCCACACATTGAGGTAGAGGCAGTCCTCACTCAGCTCTCGGTTCGGGTTCCACATCTCGGTGCCCTCAAAGCCGGGGTACAAGGTGTCCACATATTGGTAGCAGACACTTTGGAAGGCTGTGGCGTCCAGCACCCCTGGCCACGGCCGCTTGGGCTCCGGTGGCAGAAAGCGACGGGGGCCCACAGGTGGCTCTGCGAAGGGGACGCCCAGGAAAGCGGAGACAGGGCCCCCAGGGGCCATTAGGCGGATGCCCCGCAGCCGGCCCCCACGCACGGTCACCAGCAGCTCTGGGTCCTCAGCCTCTGCCCCTCCTCCCAGGAGGAAGAGGAGGAGGAGAAGGATTGGGGAAGCCAGGGAGGGCGTGTGCAGGGGACACCAGGGGGGCCTCATGACTGCCAGGGCAGGCAGGCGTCTGCTGGGAGAAAGAAAGGCAGAGGGTGAAGGCCTGAGGCTGCCAGGAGGGAGGAGATTAGGTAACACTCTTGCCCAGGGGTTATCACTGAGCTGCAGAGGAGGTGGGGCAGGTTGGTAGAGAGGAGAGAAACGGAGGGAGGGAGACAGGCACAGACAAGGACACAGGCAGACAGGGAGAAGCAAGAGGGGACAGAGATCAGGCACACTGCACAACACCCAGACAGACGGACGGAAAGAACAGAGATGAGGCCTGCCAGGCAATCCCTTCCCCTGCCCCACAGAGCGCCCACCACCCTCACCTCCTTCCCCTAGCTGGGTGTCCTGGGTTGGGCCCAGCCCGAGCAGTGCGGGCACCCGCACCAGAGGCCGCAGTCCACACACAGGCCATCCGACAGGGGCGGGGCCCTCACTGACGGGAGGCGCCCCTGGGGAAGCTTGGGGTGGCGCGAAGGCGCAGCCTGTCCTGAGATGGCCAGGGTTGGGGGCCCTGGGGGGTGGGTCGGGCATTCAAGGGTGTGGGAGCTACAGGTCTCGGGGTACCCCAAATCCTGCTTACTCCACACCCTGCCCCACCCTGCCCCTCCTCGTCCACTGTCTGGCACGGGGCGCTGGTACCCGCGGGTGCCGGTCAGCTGCGCACTCGCCTCGCCTAGCCTCAGAGATCAGGCTCGCCAGCCCGGGTCCCCCAGGACTCGAGTCCCCCATCCGTCCGATGCTGCGGGGCACGCTGCCGCCAGTGGGGGGCAGTAGAGACCGAGAAAAGGACGGCACTCCCCGCCCCGAGTCCGGGAGCCGGGAAGTTGGGGCGGGGGTCTGGAGGCTCGCGGGCATTGCGGAGGGGTCTGAAGGGCGAACCGGGACGCCTGTGTTCTCGGAGCTCCGGAGATCCCCGGCTGCAGGGGCGAGGGCGCTATTTTGGGGCAGCAGCTGCTGTGGTTCCGGCATCTCCAGCCAAGGGATCAAAATTCCCCGGGTCGGAACTCCCCCCTCCCGCGGCGGTCACCTCTCACCCAGCCAACCCCCGCCGCCCTGAGGTTGGGGTGGTGGTGGTGGTGCGGGGGATTAACTAGGAAACCCGAGTGGGGCTAATTATAACTCGGGGCTTCCGCTGAGCCTCCCCTTTCCCCAAAATAGAGACGGAGTCCCCGTGGGAGGGGGACGCCTGGGCCTCGGAGGGGGCTTCGGCTGGGCGCTGCGCAGGGGCGCCGGGATTGCGGGATCTGGAGGAGGGGGGGGAGTCAGCCCGGCGCCAGCAACCTGCGCAGCTCGGGTTCCGCCCCAAGCAGGGGGCGTCTTCCAGTGGCCCCACACTTGGGGGCGGGCGGGGGAAGGGGCGTTCGGGGGTCCCCACAGGAATTCGAGAACAGAGGAGGCGGCCGGCCCTGCGGGGTGCCGGCTCCCGCGCGGACGACAGTAAGTATGCGGCGGCGAGGGAAGAGTTAAGGATGAGTGTGGGGCGGCGGGGGGCGTCGCTGGGCAGGCCCGGGGGCGCGGTGGGCGTCCCATTTGGGGGCCCGGATCCCTCCGGGAGCGCACATTTTCCCGGACGCGGAATGGGCCGCGGGCCGGGGGAGGGTCCCGGCCGGGGCGGGAGACTCACCTGAGGCGGCCGAGCCGGGCCGGGCCGGGCCGCACCGGGAGCTGGAGGCGGCCGATGTTCCCCGGCGCAGGCTGAGCCGACTCTGACAGCCGCCGCCTCCGGCCCCCCGCACACACCCCCTCCGGGCCGCACGGCGCCCCCGCCCGCCCCCGCCCCCGCCCACTGTCTCCGCCCCCGCCCCTCCCCGCCTCCCCCGGCTGCCACCTCCCCTCCCTCTTCCTCCCTCGGAGCCGAGACCCAGAGACCCCCGGGGCCCGGACGGACTCCAGTGACAGACGCCGACAGACGGACAGACACATGGTGACACGACCGAAAGATCCGCAGCGGCGGAGCAGACATCCACAGTGACAGACAGAAGCCGCGGAGACAGACGGACAGTCGCAGGCAGTGACAGCTCCAAACGGTGACCGACATTCACAGACGGACGGACACACACTCGGACACACTGACAGCCTCAGTCAGGACTGGGGGCCGAATAAATGAACATCCTTGGCCAGGACACAGCAGGGGTGGCATGGGAGAACTGGCACGTGAAAGTGTGGCTGAGGACCCCCTTAGGGGTCCGGGTGGTACTGGCAGAGAAAAGGTGACGTGGGACACTCCTGGGGGATGAGGGCACACCTGTGGGAATGAAGGTGAGAACATAAGATCACGAGTGGAAATGAAGGGGGGCCCACGGAAGAAGACCCCCGGGGCAAGAGAGAGGTGACTCGGGGACACCCCAGAAGGCAAAACGTGGTGGCACGCGCAAGGCTGCGGGGCGAGGCCGCACTCCGCTGCCGCAGTGGAAACTTCCGGAACCCCCGCGGGTGGGTTTGCACTGGTTCCCTGACGGGTGACCTGGGACTTTCGTCACCAGGGTCCGGTCGGGGCATGACATCACCAGACCAGGCTTTCATTGGCCGCCGCGGCCGGCAGGTGGGAGCGGCCTGGCCCGGCAGCCCCCAGGCTGCTCTGAGGGGCCTGGGCCGCACGGGCCCCCACGACCCCCCCCCGGGGGATCACCCATGGGAACAGTGCGGCCGCGTCCCCACGCCCGAGGTGAGGGTGGAAAAAGCGTGCAGCGGTGTGGCCGCAGGAGTGCGCCCCTCGGAAAGGCCTTCCACTCCGGAACAGTGGGCTCCGGCGCCCACGGCCCCCTCGCTGCGTGGGAGACCGGCCGGCGCGGGCAAGCGTCGGGGCGTGCGTGCGCGCACGCGGCGGTGCGGGAATGCTGCGTGGAGCGTGCGGGCGCGCGCACGTTGACTCGGGCGCCCAGCGCCCCGCAGCGCCCCGGCCTGCGGCCCCGGGTCTACTGCGGTGGGGGGCCGGCGTCCCCGGGTCTTCTCGGGGCCTGGCGGGGTTCATGGGGTCCGTCCGAATCCAGAGACGTTCCCCGCCGCGGGCCGCGCGGTCCCGGCTCTCCAAGCTGGGCGCCCCCCCAGCCCATCCGCCCCGCGGGAACCGGCCCCCGCAGGCCCGGGGACCCGCGCTGCGTCCCCTCTCCGCTCGCGCGCGACGGCCGCCAGATGGCGCCGAAGGGAGCCGCTTCGGGCCTCGGAGACGGGTATGGGGTTTGGGCGTGCTGAGATTAACCTCACACAGTCTGTTCTCACCATTTCCACTTTCCGCCCTTCGCTCTTCAGGCACCCAAATACCCCGCGTGAACACCGAGGTTTCCTGCATCCTCCTTTCAACGTCCTGGCCCCACTGGTTGAGAGCTCCCCACTGATCAGACCACTTCCCCAGTACCACTCCCTCAAGAGCAGGCATAAGGCCTGTGGGTTTGGGTAGGGGACAGAAAAATGGACAGTTGGTGTTACTGCGGGAGAGAAGGACCTGAGGCAGGTTTCTGAGGGTGGTCATTATGAATTATTAGAATGATGAAAACAAACTGTGAGTGAATGAGCAGAGGCCTGCTTCAGGCCTGAAGCGGTAGGGATTTGGGGCCCGTAAAAGGCCCTGGTAGTGATGGGGGCTTGTTTCCTTGTCACTTTCCAGAATGGGCTGTACCACGCGGGTGCCTCACCTGACTTTTTTTTAAAGATTTTATTTATTTATTTGACAGAGAGAGACACAGGGAGAGAGGGAACACAAGCAGAGGGAGTGGGAGAGGGAGAAGCAGGCTTCTCGCTGAGCAGGGCGCCCGATGCAGGGCTCTATCCCAGGACCCTGGGATCATGACCTGAGCCGGAGGCAGACGCTTCGCGACTGAGCCACCCAGGCGCCCCTCACCTGACTTTAAATGATGAGCTCCTAGGGAGGGTAGAGACAGCTTATAGCCCAGGTAGTTATGAACTAGTGATACCTTACATGGCTTAGAAGGTGAAAGGACAAGGCATGCTGTAGGAGCTGGCCCAGCAGAGACCTCCTTGGAGAGGTCAATGCTGACCTCAGACTGGACCTGCCTTTGAGTCAAGGACAGGGCATCCAGGATGGGCTGGAATCTCCCAGGGAAAAAGACCCTATATTCAGCTGGGTGGGAGTAAATGGATTTTGCCAAGGGAAAAGGTGCTCAGATGTCTGCAGGGGCTGGAGTTGAGAGCAAGGACAAAGGTAGTTCCCGCCTGCTTGGGCGTGGCATCAGTGGGGCAGTACCTGTGGGGTATCCATGGGAGGCAAGGGCAAAACAGGTCGGGCAGTGTTCTGAGCAGTCAGAGCTTTATTCTTTCCAGGGGAGGGGGTGGGCAATGGAAATTCAGCCAGCAGGAGAGGGAGGGGGAAGGGGCATCCGAGGATGCTTGAGAATCCGGGGCAGGAAGAGATGGAGCCATTTATGTCAACACCATCCTTCCCATCCCCCAGCCATGGGGAGGGCAGGGCAGGGCTGCACGGGGAAATGGGAGGAAGGGCAGCAGGTCTGGTAGGGCGTAGGTTGGGATCCCAGGAGGGTGTCCTGCTTCTGGAGAGCCCCTGATGTGCTTCCCCAGGCCCTGGCTCAGGGAGGGGTCAGTTGAATGTCCAGGCAGATGAATCTGCAAGTCTGCATGGAGTCCGAGGGCAGGCAGGTCCTGTTCCTGCTTAGTAGGTGCAGCCAGGGCTCTGCAGCTGCAAGCAAATTTGAGAGATGTGCTGAGGGGCCACAGGTGTGTCCTCAGTCTGCAGTTTGTCCCAGGATTGTGAGGATGGAGGAGACCGTGCAGATCGTGTCCCATCTCAGTCTTTAAATTAGCAAGGGACCACCTGAGAGAGCCAGGACAGAGGGTTCACATGGCATTGAAGTAAACCCTGGACTGGAGGACCTGATTACTGGGTTCTTGCCTAGTGCTCTGCTGTCAGACGTCTGGAGAATTCCACTCCTTTCCTGGGCTTCAGTTTCCCCACAAGTAAAATGGTGGATTGGACTTGAGTGTCTGTCAGAATCATGGGGACCACTGGAGGGACTGATCCATCTGGTGTTGGGCAGAGTCCTTAAAGTCTGCAGTTTTAGCAAGTCGTTAGGGTAGTCTCATGAGGGTGGTCTGAGGATCACATGAGGAGCCATGCTGGACTAGGTGTCCCCACAGTCAGTCCAAACTGACCTCCTGAGACTGTGTGGACCAGAAGAAGGTGCTGTGGGCAGTCATCAGGCATAAGAACTAACAGGGACCCCCTCCGGTTATGAAGGGAGATGGTCAAGGATTTGAGCCTGTTCTTAAAAATGGATAGAAATTTCAGGAACAGTCCTCTTTTTACCTTGAGCTTCTCCTAAACCTTTGTTAACACAAGGGACCACTACTTCTGTTACATCCTTGCTCCACTTCTGCCGGCAAAGAGGATTTTTATCTCCTCTGTTTATTGGTTAGGATTCAGTTCAGTTATGTGAGACAGAAAACTAAACAATAATGGTGTGAATGAAATATAATGGAAATCCATTTCTCTCTTATGTAAAAGAGATACAGAAGTAGACCACATAGGATGGGCAGAGTACCCTTAACGTCAGGGACCAGTTTACTTTGCACAGAACTGTGTTACTTAACCATCCTCGGCGTGTAGCTTCCACTGCGTGGTGTAATATGGCTGCTGGTGCATCGGTCATCACATCTGCATTCCAACCAGCTGGCAGGAGGAAGGACTGACAAAGATCATCACTTCTCCCCTTAAGGACATTTCTTGGAAATGAATCATACACACAGCACTTCGGTTTATATTGTTTTGGCCAGAACTTAATCCTGAGGTCATAACTGGCTATGCCTGAGGTTCAGAGATGTAGCTTTTGTTCTGGAAGACTGTGTACTCACCTACAATTTGGCTGTTCTAATACAGCCAAGGGAGGAAAGGGAGAAGGTACTGGGGAACAGCCATCCTCTGCCAAATGCCTTCCTTTGCCTCTTTTAGTGCAGGACTGAAACACACTTCTAAAATGTCTCAACTCGGGGACGACGCCCCCCACGCGCTCTCTTGAACACCACCACGTCCTAAAATTTTAGTGACCTGTGACCCCCCTGCTCTAGCTGCTTCTCCACGGAAACGCAGTTTCTCGAGCCATCCGCGGGAGGGCGCTGCGCGGTGGCCTGGCGGGGCCGCGGCTCTGGCTGGTGCTGCTGCAGGTGGTGGCGCTGAGAGTCTTCGTCGTGAGCTGCCAGAGGAGGGGAGGCCAAGGCGGCGACCGGTGAGCGTGCTGGGGTGGGGGTGAGGGTAGCGGTCCGGCTCTGGCGGCGCAGCGCCCCGACCCGGGTCCTCCCACCGCTCCCGCGTGCAGAACAAGGTATGGACATTGGTTCCAGATGTCCTCAGGGGATTCCCTCCCCACTTAAGGCTGGAGGGCTCCTGGCGAAGCCACTGTCCCTATCCCCATCAGGCGGGGTCGTTGACCTAAAGAATTGGGAGCATGAGCCATGCAAGAGACTCTCCTCCCCTTTCTCCACCCCATCCTCTGACCCCGTCTGCAGGTTGGGCTAAAATTCACACTCGATCCAAGTTACGTAGTTATGCATGATTCCTGCTCGGAATCACCCATCCATCCTATTTGGACTCCCCCCCCTTTTTTTTTTTGCTAGTTTTGAGCATTTCACCCAACTTTTAGCCTGTCTTTGGATAGACTTTTTTTTTTTTTTAAGATTTTATTTATTTATTTGACCGAGAGAGACACAGCGAGAGAGGGAACACAAGCGGGGGAGTGGGAGAGGGAGAAGCAGGCTTCCCGCGGAGCAGG